AATGATCAGAGGTATAGATAGAGTGGATAGTCAGAGACTTTTTCCTAGGGTGGAGGTAGCTACTACCAAGGGGCATAGTTTTAAAGTGAGTGGAGGTAGATATAGGGGAGACGTCAGAGTTAGGTTCTTTACTCAGAGAGTGGTAGGGGTGTGGAATGCATTGCCGGGAGAGGGTAGTGGGGTCGGCCTCATTAGGGGCATTTAAGCGGCTATTAGATAGGCATATGGATGATAGTATAAGGTAGGGGTGAAAGTTAGATAGACCTTAGGATTAGGGTAAAAGTTCGGCACAACGTTGTGGGCTGAAGGGCCTGTCCTGTGCTGTACAGTTCTATGTTCTATGTTCTAATAAAGATTAATTACTGCTCAATGACCTCTCTAGCACTGAAAATTAACTTCTTTAATTCTTCTTCCTTCAAGCATTAATCAGTGTTGGAGAATCTGGATTTCTAAAATTTTCCTTTGTCTTTTTCTCATTTCTCTCTGTTGAATATTTCTTTCTCTCTATTTCTACTTCTACATTTGATTTGACACTGAATACATCCCTGCTAATTTACACTTCCTTTCCAGTTATTATGATATTAATTTCACAATCCTTTAGTCTGATTGGTTGAGGAGACTTACCTCTTCATGGAAGTGCCAGGTCCCGGATTTTCCCACTCCATGTTGCCTTGGACACGGGGAGGCCTGTCCCCTCATGTGGGGCAATCTAGAATGAGAGGTCATTGCTTTAGGATAAGGGGTGGCAGATTTAAAACCGAGATGAGGAATTACTTCTCTCAAAGGGTCATGAATCTGTGGAATTCACTCCCCCACAGTACAGTGGATGCTGGGATATTGAATAAATTTAAGGGGGAGACAGGCAGATTTTCTCCATGAGTAATGGAGAATGGGCAGGAAAGTGGAGTTGAGGTTGTGATGAGATCACCCACGATTGTTTTGATTGGTGGAGCAGGCTCAAGGGGCTGAATGGCCTACGCCTGCTTCTGGTTCTTATGTATTACCTCACGCTTGCGACACATGTAAGAAATAAACTTTAAAGCCCAAAGCAGGCTAACTGGGGTTGGGTGGCTACGACACAGTTTGCCCTAAAGTGCCTGCAATAAGTGCAAACCCACACAGTCCACATGACAGGGTCCAACTGGTCCCTGCCCTGGCACAGGAACTGAAAGCATCTTTCCCCGTGCTACATCTGCTCACATCAGAATTCCCAACCGTGTAAATCGAAATGCCAGGAGTCAGCTTTGAAACAGGAAAAGGTCATCGCCCAGGAAAGAAGTCTGCAGTTCAAAAGAGCATTCACACCCACCAGCATTCGTGTCCCAGCCTGGTGTGTGAGCACTTGAGTTTGATATGTACTTTTACAGAGCGGGGTAGCCAATGTCATATTGGGTTTTTGTTTGTAAATTAAATTCCCCAAAGCTATTCTACAGCCCATGATTTGACATTGTGTAGCACGCAGTCACGATTTCACAGAGTTTAGATTGCACTGGTGTTTCTGCTCTGCATTCTGCTTCAATTAAGTCACTTTGTCTCCGCTTTCATTTCATATGAAATGTTAAAGATTTTTAACTATTGATTCAAGTGCAGTTGGGTTTATGAGCTTGGCCAGATTTCTTTTCTTTTTCACTCCCTTGTTACGTTTTGCTCTTTTTGTTTCCGTTTGATTTTGTTTCAAAGAGTCTTGCTCCTGCAAACTTAAACCACTGACTGAGATATCCCAATGGACCAAATCTCCTTTCTCTCTGTCTTTTCTTCACTGTTGATGCCCCCACTGTTCCTCTGTGTGTGAGAATCTAGAACTAGGGGACATGGTTTAAAATGCCTCCCATTCAAGAGAGAAATGAGGCAGAATTTCACCTCTCTCAGGGTTATCAGTGTGGAGCCGAGATCATTGAGTATATTCAAGGCTGTGTGAGAAAGAGTTTTGATCGATACTGGTATCATTGAATAATGGAGCTGTCTCTGGGGGTTGAATCCCTTCTCCTGATCCTAATGGACAGCACGGTGGCTCAGTGGTTAGCACTGCTGCCTCACAGTGCCAGGTTCGATTCCAGCCTTGGGCAACTATCTGTGTGGAGTTTCCACAGTCTCCCCATGTCTGGGTGGCTTTCCACTAGGTGCTGTAATTTCCTCCCACGGTCCAAAGATGTGCAGGTTACGGTGGGAGGAGGGTTTCGTTTCGGGCCTAGACCCTTCATCAAAAAAGGGGGAGGGGAAGGCTTGGCCTGCTGTGTTCATCCAGCCCTGCAAGCCCCTCTGCTCCTATGATGCTGCTTGGCCTGCTGTGTTCATCCAGCCCTGCACCTTGTTGTCTCAGGTTAGGGTGGATTGGCCATGCTAAATTGCCCCTAGTATTCAGGGATGTGCAGGCTGTGTGGATTAGCCATGGGAAATGTTGGGTTACAGGGATGCTGTAGTTCCGGGTGGGATGCTCTTTGGGGGGGTCAGTGAAATTTGATGGTCTGAATGGCCTCTTTCTGCACTATTCTATCATCTGTTGGGAAAGTGAGCATGTTGCAGAAAGTTTTCCAGTCGACACAATCCAATGACCCTTCCCTGACAATGTTAGGGGACAGACGGGCTTCACAGCTGGTCACGACTGACAAAAACATAGCCAGTGTCAAACACTCAGTGGTCAGCCCATTCCCCTCTTTCTCAGCAACTGTCCCAGTGTAATAACCCCTGCCTCACCCCTTGGGTCAGTGCTTATGTTCCTGGTGCTAATGCTGAGGGAGTACTGCACTGTCAGAGGTGCCATCTTTTGTTTGAGACGTTGAATCAAGGTCCCTGTGCCACCCTCCCCACCTCTCCCTTGCTTGTAACAATAGATTTCCTGTGGTACTCTTTGATGAAGCTCAGATATTTCCAAAAAACCTAGGATATGATTTTTAGTCTGCGGGATCTTGCTTTGCAAAAACTGGCTGCTGCATTTCCAGCCGTACAACATTGACTCTTCAACATAAATCCAAAATGTTTTGTTTTTCTCTCTTAGCTTTTTATCAGATATTCCGACTTCCATGTGCATGGAAAACAGGAATAGGAGTAGGCCATTCATCCCATTGAGTCCACTCCACCATTCAACCCTGTAGGTTACTGCCATATTGCCATGCTCTCCCCATATCCCTTGATGTCTTTAGTGTTTAGAAGTCTATCCCTTCCTTTCTTGAATCAATTCAGTGACTTGGCTTCCACAACATTCTGAGATCGAGAATTCACCACCTACTGAGGTAAGAAATGTCCTCTCCTCTCAGCCTGAACTGGCCTACTATTTATCCTGGGACTGTGGCTCCTTCATCGGGCCAGGGGACACAACATCCCAGCACCCAGTCTGTCCAGCCCAGTCAGAATTGTATACATCTCAGCGAGATCCCTTCTCATTCTTCGAAATTCCAGTGAATACAGTCAACCCATTCTCTCCCAAACGACAAACCTGCCATCCTCTATAAATCAGTGTGGGGAACTTTAGCTGCACCCCCTCTGTAACAAATACAACTTTTCGTAGGTAAGGAGACCAAAACTGCATTTATGGTCTTTTCATGAACACCTAAACTAGGAGCCGCAGTAGGCCATTCTGCCCCTCGAGCCTGCTCCACCGTTCAATAGGGTCCTGACCGATTGGATTGTAATTCCAAATCCACATTCCCGCCTTTCCTAATAACCTTTAACCCCCTTTCTTAATCGTCATCTCTTTACCTCTGCCTTATAAATAGTCAAGGGCTCTGCTTCCACATCCTTTCCAGGAAGACAGTTCAAAAGACTCATGACCCTCTGAAACAGGAAATTTCACTGCTTTAAATTTCTATTTCTCTCTTGCTGTCAATCCCTGGCCACAATTTAAATACCGGGTTGGTTTTGAGCTGACAGGTAGAGAATTATATTGGTAACTATATAACTGAAGCCCCAGTAAATGTCCTGTTCTTCAAGGAGAATTGGGACTTTGCTGATTATCATGTGTCTCACACCTTGGGAGCATTCAGACTTTCAAAGATTTTCCATTGGCTGCAAAACTGACATTTTAGTCACAATCTCTCCCCCTTGCCCTTGTTGTTGTCCTGTTCTGTATCTGAAAGAAGATATCATTTCTACTGTACAGTTCTCTCATGTAGTGGTCAGGCGTGATGGATAAAGTCCTAGGATCACACATCTGCAGGACACTTTCGATTACTCATAGCTGTCACTCTCTGAAGCTGTTCATGCAATCTTTGAACATGAAGAATTGATTCTTCAACTCAAGTCTGACCTCCCCAACCTGACTCTGTTGCCAGGTACCTCACTACCATGATTACTCTTTGATTCTTTTGACTCGGTCCGGGACACCTTGAAGATCTGAAGAAGATTAGAGACTTGTTTAATTTGGAAGCTGGGTGAATGGGTACAAACTGGAAAGAGCTGGGCCTTAGTTTTCCTTTTCATAGAAGCATAGAGGAAGACAGTTAGCATCTGTCCTTTCAAAGAGTGACTCAGTTAGCCCCACTCCCTAAAGCTCTTTCCCTACTGGCCTGTCAACATTCTTGCCTTGAAAATTACCCTGAATCTCCTTGCAGCACCGTTTCAGACAATGCATTCCAGATGATTAATGACTCGCTGTGTAAAATCATCTATGAAACTTTTACCAATCACCTTAAATTTCTGGTTGCTGATCCTTCTATCACTTTATCCTGTTACTAATCCATCAATATACTTTATTATCTAACCACCTATTTTAACTCTCCCGTTTGCCTTGTCACTTCTAAAGAGAGCCTTCCCAATCTCTCCGCAGAACCGAAAGCCCCTCATCTCTGGGACCAGTGCTGTCAATCTGCTCTGCATCCCCTACAGTGCCTTACTAAAGTGTGTGGCGAATTGGGCACAAAACTCCATCTTGGATGGGGCAATTATTTTATAAAGGTTTACCTTGGTCCTGCCTGTAGGCCCGAGAATCCTGTCTGCTTTTTATTTCAATGTGAGGTGTTGCTGTGATGATTTCTCCTCATCCTGACCCCTGCCTTTGTTTTCAGGTTCAATGGTAAATGGATGGGGTTCCGCCTCTGAGGAGGAGCGCAATATGTCTAGCCAGCGATCTAGCGCTGCCAGCTCCTCCTCCAATTCCATCTTCACTGATGGCGACTTTGCCCAGGCTCTGGCCACTGCGGCAGACAGGGCTGGCTTCAAGATGGAGGGCACCAGCTTAATGAGGACAGGTTTGTACCCAACGTTGCTTTCGTTGCCAAGAGAAGACTTAGCACGCTTTGCCGAGGCTTTAGTTTGGCCTCTCTCTCTCTCTCTCGCTCTGTTTTTCTCTCTGTCTGTCTCCTCTCTCAGATTCTGAACTGGGACCTACACTAGACCTAGCTCTCTAATCAGTTTTAAGATGCATGGCTTGGGATTTTGGCAGTGGGCTTTGATTGTCTCTATCCCATCTCTGACTCTAGTCAACTTTGGTGGCAACTCTCGAAAGGATAGCTGCATGGTCTTGTGCTCTTCACCTCCTTGTTGTTCTTGTACTGTGTGCACTTTGACTCTGCCTTTGGTTTTACCCAGGGCATTGTGCCTGGTTGAGTTTGCATCCTTAAGGCTTCCTCCAGCTCCCACTCTCAGGGGGTGCTAAGATTTCACGTGGACCCAGCTCCTTGGGCAAGTTGGGCAAGAGAGCAACGGGGAGATATTTGACCTTGAGGAGCGTCACATCTGATCCAATCTTCATCCATTGCTTGCATTCAACACACACCTGCTTACCATAGACATTCAGGTGCAGAAACCATCCCCTACCCTTTACCCACTCCTTCTCCTCCCTTGGATATCAAAACTAATTGTTGCACCTTTTTACTGCCCTCACTCCCTCGTCCCACTCTGATTCAGAATGAGTCAATGTAGGTTGAGAACCCAACACCAAATCACTCATTTAAGGCTCAAAGTGAAATACTGTGGATGCTGGAAATCAGAAACAAACAGAATTGCTGGAGAAACTCAGCAGGTCTGGCAGCATCTGTGGTGAGAGAAAGCAAGAGTTAAATCTTCTGAAAAGTTATATTGGATTTGAAACATCATCTCTGTTTCTGTCTCCACACCTGCTGCTAGACCTGCTGAGTTTCTCCAGCATTCTCTGTGTTTGTTACTCAATAGAGATTTTCGGCTGCAGTTCTTAAATCAATAAGGGGGAACAGTTCGCTCTGATTTCTCCTCAACTACCACGGTAAATTGTATTTATACAGCACCTTTAACATTTTAAGACATCACAAGGCACTTCATGGGAGCACGATCAGACAGAGTTTGAGAATAAGCACCAGAAGATTTTTAGGACAGGTACCTGGTTAAAGAGCAAATTCTGCTCAAGAGATTTTAAGGATTGTCTTAAAGAAGGAGAGGGAGATAAAGAGATGGAGAGTGAATTCTCAGGTTTAAAGCCCAGGTAACTTATAGCATAGCCTGGGACTGGAGCACAGTGAGTGCAGGGTTTACAAAAGCCCAAGGATTGGTGAAGCACAGCAATCTGAGAGAGTTGCAGGGCTGCAGATTAAGGGTCCTGGTGCTGTGTTAAGATTGCAGGCAACCAGTATTATCGCCCTTGCGTCCCCACTGTGATCCCAGCTATAACCACGTCAGATCATTCATCTTTGTTGGACTGCTCTTTACAGCAATGTGTTTGATGTTGCCTCCAGGGGACCATTGCAAAAATAGTTGAAATGCTCCATCATAGGTAACGTCCTGGTGAATCTCCTCTGCACCCCCTCCAGTGCAATCACACCCTTCCTATAGTGTGGTGTACCACACAGGACTGCAGCTGTGGCCGAACCAAAGTTTTGTACAGTTCCAACATAACCTCCTGCTCTTATAATCTATATCCCAACTAATTAAGGCAAATGTCACATATGCCTTATTAACTCGCCTACTAACCTGTCCTGCTACCTTCAGTCATACTGGACTTAAAACATTAACCCTGTTCCCTTCTCTACGGGCAACGCTCCGAAAGCTTGTGTTTTCAAATAAACCCATTGGACTATATCCTGGTGTTGTCTGACTTCTGACCTTGTCCACTCGAGTCCAATGCCAGCACCTTTACATCATTGCTATAGATGCTGCCAGATGTGCTGAGTTTCTCCTACAATTCCTGTTTTTGTTTCAAATCTCCAGTATCTGTGCTGTTTTGTTTTTATTTGGTTATTTGACAGGATCAATCTGGCAGCAAGCAAATCATCAGAAACAATCACTGTAGGTTAGGACAGTTCTAGCTCTCCTTCAGGAGGGACAACAACCCATTGGAGGCAACAGGAACTTCAGCTCAACGAAAGAGGAATTGAAATTCCGACAGCTCTGAGAACCACTCAGTTCATTGATCCACTAGAGACTGGTTTAATTACAGTGTACGTCAGAGATGTTTCATGTTCATGCTTGATGGCTTGCTTGGAGATTTGCTTCAAGTATCATGTCCGCTTGGATGTACACTTTGTGCTTTTAGTGTCTCATTCCAATGACCCTTGATGTCGAGCTGCCCAGATTGCTCATGTCTTTGCACTGATGTTGGTCCTATCTCCAGTGACCTCCAACTGTCTATCTTCCTCTTTCTGTATCTCTCCTTTCACCCTGAAGACTCTGGGGTTGTATCTGAATCCTGTTCTCATCAATGAACATACCACCCAACTCTATCCAGCTCGGGTTCCCCAAGTGGGACACGGTCTGAGAATATTGCTGTATTATCTGCTGATGCATTGAAGATATAAATACACACCTTCTTTCTATCTGGATAACCTGTCTCACACAAAAACGCTACATACTTCCATGGTTAACAGTAGGAAACTCATGGACTGTTCTGATTAATGTCGCGTTACTGAAAATCTAAAATCCAAGGATTGTGTCTGTCAAGTACTGTTTGAAACAAACGGGTGTCTGTTTCAGGGTTGGGATTGCGGGTGTTGGGGATGAATTGGAAAGCTCTGAGAGCATATTTTGAAATTCAAAGGCTTTAGTTTTGGAAGGTGAGAACCATTTGCTGATCCTGAATCACACAGGATGTAGAATTCTGACGTGGTTACGACCTTTCACCAACAAATTTCCACCGACAATAGAGATGTGCTGGGAGTGCAAATATTCCTCCATCATCTATTCCCCAGTAGCTATTCCCTTGATCACCTACTCCCCTCACCTAACCCCACTCACCTTTCTGGCATCACCAACTCCATCACCCACCCCCTATCCCCACACAACCGTCACCCAACCCCTCCATCCCCACCCCCCATCAACCCCCATCACCTACCCTATATCACCCATCCCCATCACCAGCCCCCATCCCCAGCACCACATCCCCATCACCCACACCCATCACCTAACCCATATCAGCCAACCCCCATCATCCATCCCCAACCCCTCCCCCATCACCACATCCCCATCACCCACACCCATCACCTAACCCATATCAGCCACCCCCCATCACCCATCCCCAACCCCTCCCCCATCACCCACACCCCCATCTCCCACCACCCATCACCGATCCCCATCATCCACCCACCATCACCCATCACCGACCCCATCACCAAACCCCATCATCAAACCTCACCCCCACACCCTCATCACCCACCCCACGTCACCCATCCCCACATCCACTCCATCACCCCCACACCCATCGCTCCCACCCCATCACCCAACCCCATCACCCACCCACCATCACCCTGCCCCCACCCCCACTCTTATCACCCACCCCCATCACCCACCCCACGTCACCCATCCCCATGCTCTCACCCATCACCCAACCACCCATCACCCAACCACACCCCCATCACCACACCCCATCACCCATTCCCCATCACCCACTCCCTATTACCCATCCCTATCACCCACCCCCAACACCCCCTCTCCATCACCCCCCACCATACCCTCACCATACCCTATCACATACACCCACTTCACCCACCCCCATCCCACACCCCATCACCTACCTATGTTTCCTCACCACCTGCTCTCATGACTCCGCAGTATCCAGCAGTTCCTATCATCTACCCCACCCCACCCTCTCTATCCACCATTCCTCATCACATCTTCCCCACCATCTACACTCATCCCCCAACTATCTACAATGCCTACATCGCCTAATTCTTGTAAACCTCCTATGGACCTCCTCCAATGCCAGCACATCCTTCCTTAGACACAGGGCCCAAAACTGCTCACAATGTTCCAAATGTGGTCTGACCAGAGCCTTATGTAACCTCAGCAGCACATCTCTGTTCTTGTATTCTAGCCCTCTTGAAATGAATGCTAACATTGCATTTGCCTTTCTCATTGCCAACTGAACCTGCATGTTAACCTTAAGGGAATCCTGAACTAGGACTCCCAAGTCCCTTTGTGCTTCAGAATTTCAAAGCCTCAGAAATCTGTCTACACCTCTATTCTTCCCATTAATGTACTTCACACTTTACCCGCATTGTATTCCATCCGTCATTTCTTTGCTCACTCTCCCAGCCTGTCCAAGTCCTTCTGCAGCCTCCCCACTTCCTCAGCACTACCTGTCCCTCCACCTCTCTTTGTGTCATCTGTAAACTTAGCAACAATGCCCTCAGTTCCTTCAACCAAATCATTCATGTATAACGTGAATAGTTGTGATCCCAACATAGATCCCTGCGGAACTCCACTAGTCACTGGCTGCCATCCTGAAAAATACCCGTTTATTCCAACTCTTTGCCTTCTACCAGCCAGCCAATCCTCTATCCGTGCTAGTACCTTGCCCCTAACGTCATATGCTCATCCTATTTAGTAGCCTCCTGTGCGACACCTTTAAAGGTCGTCTGGAAATCTAAATAGATCACGTCCATTGGTTCTCTTTTGTCTAACCTGCTTGTTACCTCCTCAAAGAAGTCTAACTGATTTGTCAGGCATGACCTCCCTTTGATGAAGCTACGCTGACTCAGCCCTATTTTACCCTACACTTCCAAGTAGTCCGTATTCTCATCCTTAATCTAATGTAAACTTTTACCAATGACCGAGGTCAGGGGAACCAGCCTACAATTTCCTGCCTTCTGCCTCCCTCCCTTCTTAAACAGGGGAGTTACATGAGCCATTTTCCAGCCCTCTGGGACCCTCCCTGACTCCAGTATTTCCTGAAAGATCACCACCAATGCCCTCTACAATCTCCTCAGTTATCTCCCTCAGAACTCTGGGATGGAGTCCATCTCATCCGGGTGATTTATCAACCATCAGACCTTTCAGCTTCCCCAGCATCTTCTCCTTAATGATGGCCACGATACTCACCACAGCCCCCTGACTCTCTTGAAGTTCTGGTATTCTGCTGGTACCTTACACGGACAAAGTACCTGTTCAGTTCCTCCTCCATTTCTTTGTTCCCTATTGCTTCTTCTCCAGCCTCATTTTCCAGCAGCCCAATGACCACTCTTGCCTCTTCTACTTTTCATATGTCTAAAAAAGCTCTTACAATCTTCTTTTATATTACTAGGTGGATTACTCTCATATATTATCTTGCCACTTATTGTTTTTTTGGTTATCCTCTGCTGGTCTTTAAAGGCTTCCCAATCCATTGGCTTCCCACTGATATTCACCGCATTGTACAATTTCTTTTTTGCTTTTATGCTGTCCCTGATATGGCTTGTCAGCCATAGTTGCTTTGTCCTTCCCTTAGTATTTTCTTTATCCTCAATTCTTCATCCTTCAGATGAATTTCTGCTGTGCCTCCTGAATTACCGCCAGAAACTCCTGCCATTGCTACCCCACTGTCTTCCCTGCTAAGCTCCCCTTCCAATCGACTCTGGCCAGCTCCTCCCTCATGTGTTTGCAGTTACCATTACTCAATTGTAATATCTGATTCCAGCTCCTCCCTCTCAAACGGTAGAGTGAATTTTATCATATTAGGGTCACCGCCCCTAGGGGTTCCTTCACACTAAGCTTTCTAATCAAATCTGCCTCGTTGCATCATACTAAATCCAGAATTGCCTGTTCCCTAGTGCGTTCTACCACAAACTGCTCCAAAAACAAACCATCTTGTAGACATTCCATGAATGCCTTTCTTGGGATCCACTACCAACCTGATTTTCCACCTGCACACTGAATTTCCCTGTGGTTATTGATTGAGTTTGCACATTCTCCCCTTGTCTGCGTGGGTTTCCTCCAGGTGCTGTGGTTTCCTCCCACAGTCCAAAGATGTGCAGGGTTAGAAGGATTGGAAATGCTAAATTTCCCATTGTGTCCAGGGGTGTGTAGATTGGGTGGATTGGCTATGGGTAATATAGGGTTACAGGGAAAGGGAGGGGAATGGGTCTGGGTGGGATGCTGTTCAGAGAGGCGGTGTGGACCTGTTGGACCGAATGGCCTGTTTCCACGCTGTAGGGATTCTATGAACTCTATTTCTTTCTTACATGCCTTTTCTATCTCCTGATGCATTTTCTGCCCCATATCCCGACTACTGCTAGGAGGCCTGTACACAACTCCTATCACGGTCCTTTTTCCCTTGTAGCTCCTCAACTCTACCCACACAGGTTCTACACCTCTGACCTAACTCCTATATTACTTCTTACTACCAATATAATTTCATTTCTTACTAAACAGGCACCCCAGACCCTATCTGTCCATCTGCTTTTCGATAAGGTCCCCTTGCAGCCTGGTCTCTGTGACACTCATAAGAACATAAGAACTAGGAGCAGGAGTAGGCCGTCTGGCCCTTCGAGCCTGCTCCGCCATTCAATAAGATCATGGCTGATCCTTTCATGGACTCAGATCCACTTACCCGCGTTCTCACCGTATCCCTTAATTCCTTTATTGTTAAAAAATAATCTACCTTTTTTTAAAAACATTTACTGAGGTAGCGTCAACTACTTCACTGGGCAAGGAATTCCATAGATTAACAACCCTCTGGGTGAAGAAATTCCTTCTCAGTTCAGTCCTAAATCTGCTCCCTCTAATCTTGAGGCTATGCCCTCTTGTCCTAGCTTCACCTGCCCGTGGAAACATCCTCTCTATTTCTATCTTATCTATTCCCTTCATAATTTTATATGTTTCTATAAGATCCCCCCTCAATCTTCTGAATTCCAATGAATATAATCCCAATCTACTCAGTCTCTCCTCATAAACCAACCCCCTCAACTCCGGAATCAACCTAGTGAACCTCCTTTGCACCCCCTCCAGTGCCAATACATTCTTTCTCAAGTAACTCACAACATTGTACCTGCCAATTTCAGTCTGCCCTACAAGCCCATTTATTTTGTTTCATGTACTGCTTCATTTAAGTACAACATCCTCAATCCTGTGTTGACTGCCCCCTTCTCATAGCTGACCCTGTATCTGTTGAGCCTGAAGTTAGATTCCCGACGTTTTCCATCCTCTCTGTCCTGTTACTTGTTCTGGAAACTTTCATAAGCCCTGCTGATACCTCGTCCCCTTTAACTATTTCCATAATTTTCTATGCAACTGAACCCCCACACCCCCATTGTTCAGTTTAAAGCCCTAATCTGAGCCCTAGTTCTGCAATTTGTCAGGACTCTGATGCCATCAGAACAGCTCCCTCCTTCCAATGATGCCAATGTCCCATGAATTTAAACCCATTTTTCCCATTTTTCTTTGAGCCACGCATTTACCTCTTTAATTCTGTTGACCCTGAGGCAATTGGCTCCTGGCTCATGTAGTAATCCAGAGACTATTACCTTTTTGGTTCTGTTTCGTAATTTAGGACCCTAATTGCTCATATTTCCTCTGAAAAACATCTTTCCTTTTTCTACCTGTATTGTTGGGACCTACATGGACCATGACAACTGGATCTTTCCCCTCCCACTCCAAATTCCTCTGCAACCCAGATGAGATATCCTGAACCTGGGGCCCAGGCGGGCAACACAGCTTTAGGGACTCTCGATCCTGGCCCCAGAGAACAGGGTCTATTCCCATGATATACGATCCCTGATGACAACTACATTTCGCTTTACTCCCCTCTCTCTTTCCCTTGTTCCCCGTCGCTGTGGTCAGTTTGCTCATCCTCCCTACAGCCCCCAATCTCGCCCACACAGGGAACAAGAATCTCAAACCTGTTAGACATGCGAGTGGCAGCTCGGTAACTCGGTGGTTAGCACTGCTGCCTCGTAGCACCAGGGACCCGGGCTTCATTCCAGCCTTGGGTGACTGTCTGTGTGGAATCTGCACATTCTCCCCATGTCTGTGTGGGTTTCCTCCCACAGTCCAAAGCTGTGCACATTAGTTAGATTGTCCATGCTAAACTGCCCCATGGTGTCCAGGGATGTGTAGGTTAGGTTGGTTCGCCATGGTAAAAACCCCATGCAGGATGGGATGGGGCAGTGGGTCTGGGTGGGATGCTCTTTCAAGAAAACTTGATGGGCTGAATGGCCTCTTTCTGCACTGACATACACTGACACTGAGCTACAGACAGAATCAAGGGATGAATCTCCTTGAGCACTACCCCCTTGATCCCTCGAGCTGCCTTGCTGGTCGTCATACCATCCTGTCCCTGACCATTGACCAAATTTGAGATCGTGACCTCTGGTGACCACCCCTCCTCCCACTGGGAACAGTCTCTCTATAATTGCTTCATTGTTTTTGATCAACAACAGAATGAAGCATTATAGGAGATAGGCAGAAAAGTCAGGTTAAGGTGGTAATCAGATCTGTCATGATCCTATTGATTTACACGGTACGTTGAGTGAACTCAGTGGCCTACTCCTGCTCCAATTTCTTACGTTCTTGTGATCGCGTCTATTGATCTGCGCTCAACCTTCTCTTCACAATGGTGAACTACCCCTGATTTCCCACATCCCTGCTGCCATCCAAGTGCATCTCTTCTGACCCCTCTCCATGACACCTTTCTTGAAACGTGGTGCTCAGAATTGGACACCGTTCTCCAGCCAGAGTTTACGAAATGCATTATAAAGTTGTGGCTCAATGGCTGAACAATTCATTAACCGTGTTGTTCCCTCTGGGGTTTCTTGTGCCGATAGGTAAAGGATATTCCTCTTCACAGCGACTCCAACCCAGCAGCCCGTTCTCCAGCAACGGGAGTATGGGTGCGGCTCACAACCCATGTCAGAGATCCAGACCACCCAAAAAACACAAGACAGCAGGGGGCAGAGTGGAGCAGCCCTCGGCACCACACCGCAGGGAGGCAGCAGTAGATGGTGAGTCCCAGATCCCACCGTGATTCCATTGGCAGGAAACCAAAGAGATTGGATAGAGTGGACACTGGGTGAAGGATCTATATCAACCAAGATTGCATTATTATCAAGAAGAAATGACGAAGGAATAAGGTTCCGAGCACTGACCCTCTGACAGTGCGGCGCTCCCTCAGCACTGACCCTCCGACAGTGCGGCACTCCCTCAGTACTGACCCTCTGACAATGCGGCACTCCCTCAGCACTGACCCTCCGACAGTGCGGCACTCCCTCAGTACTGACCCTCCGACAGTGCGGCACTCCCTCAGTACTGACCCTCTGACAGTGCGGCACTCCCTCTGTACTGACCCCCTGACACTGCGTCACTCCCTCAGTACTGACCCTCCGACAGTGCGGCACTCCCTCTGTACTGACCCCCTGACAATGCGGCACTCCCTCAGTACTGACCCTCCGACAGTGCGGCACTCCCTC